GGAAGTTTGATAAGTGCACTAAACATTAAATATTATTACCGAAGTTAAAAACGGCCCACTAATTTATGTTGCCGATATCTGTGTGAATTAACTATATTGCAAGTTATCATCCCATTTTAAATCTGACGAGCACACCAAACATTAAATATTATTACCGATGTTAAAAACGGCCCACTAATTTATGTTGCCGATATCTGTGTGAATTAACTACGTGGCCAGTTGTCATCCCATTTCAAGTTTGGTAAGTATACCGAACGTTAAATGTTGTTGCTAATGGTAAAAACGGTACACACATTTATATATAGTTTTCTGTGTGAGTAATTATGTTCCAATTTATCTTTCCACTTCACACGTGACCTATTATCTTGAATGTTTTAATGAGATAGAATGTTTGTTACTATCCCAAGTGTTTTTTATAAAACGTTTTTCTTAACCTATATATAACAAGCTAAAGCTACCATGCGGTAACGAATCTGGGTAAAAACGAACAGAAGTATTTTCAGGCTTATTAAGGATTGAATACTGTAAAAACTAATGCATTAGCATGTTTTACTAAATTAACTCGATTCACTCTTGTTGAAAGGTTTTTTATAGCTTTTTGGGTTATACAGATTAATAAGCGTATCCTAAATTACTAAAGACGTATTCTAATAGAGGGATAAGAAGGTACCCTAAAGACCGAGTCGTAGGCTTAGTACCTGGGATTAAACTGAGCAAAATAAAAATAGAACAAAATACGAGCCAAGTCTCGGTATCATCATGCCAGTTTGAATCATTACAGGAAGGCTTAGGTCATTGAAGTCTTACGAATCTTATTTATTTATTATTCGCTTTAGTTTCGAGTTAAAAGTTCATTTGTTTCAGGGTAAAGTCACACTGGACTGTCTGCTGTGTCCTCCGCGGGGAATCAAACACCGAATTTTAGAGTTGTAAGTCCGTCAACTTACCGCTGTCTCGCCGATGGATAAAAGTAAAAAGACAGTTCTGTAATATAATATGGCTAGTTGTATAATAACATACATAAAAATATTAAATGCCACAGTTATTTTGATAAATATGTGACAGTCGTCAGTGAATTATAAAAGCTCGTTTAACTTTCACTGGTTCTTGTACTTAAATGACACAGTTTTACATTACAGTTACATAGTGATTTGTGTATACTTTTTCAATTATTGTACATTTACATGGTGATTTGTGTATATTTCTTCAATTATTGTACATTTACATGGTGATTCGTGTATATTTCTTCAGTTATTGTACATTTACATGATGATTTGTGTATATTTCTTCAATTATTGTTCAGTTACATGGTGAAACCTTTAAAAACCTTCAGTCTTCGTTGAATGTATATCTTCAGCTATTTTCGTACTATAATCATGATTCAAAACTACAACTAACGAACTTGGAACAACGAAAGTCACAGCTGACACGCCTCTTGTGTACAAGGTCTTGTTGATGTAGCAACGAAGATAAAGGTCAGAAGTAACTTGATGACCTTGGGTATTCTGTTATAACTGTGGTTACTTCTAAGTGGAAAGAAAACTCGAACTTTCGCAGTTTTTTGGAACATATGAAACAGACATTAGCAAGTTTTTTTGTAAGTGATTAATGAAGTTAAAACCACATTGAATTTAATAGTGTCCTGACCGGGAAGGAACTATTCGTGAATACTAACTAACAAGTAGTGTCTTTAGATCAGCTTCTGCAGACGTCCTTGGTTAAGTTTTCCTGAAATTGAATTGGAGGAAAAGTATGATCCTGTTGAATGCTTTGACAGCAGGTGTGGAGAAGAACGCAGGTATATTCAGGGCTAATTCTCCACATTGGATCATCGCGTGTGTTGGGTGAATTTTGAACTTTGACCCATTGTTTTATTTTATTTGCAACTTCTTTGACTGGAAGATAAATGGCCCATTTTTTTCCATTTCTTTCTTTTCGTGTATACAACACTACAAGCAGAATGAACCATAGCATGACAGTAAAGACAGCAGTAGGTAAAACCAAAAGACTATTTTTATTCAGTTTCGTGTCTGTAGTTGTTTAATATTGTCACGTGCTAATAGTTGAAGAATTCTGGGTACTAATGTCACGTTTGCATGCAGAAAAGATCTTAGTCAGATTTAGAGAACTTTCATAAAAATTTAAATATACGCTACAGGTTCGGAGAATAAACCGAATTTAGTGAGATGGCAGTGTAGGCTTTAAAGAAAGAAGAAAAATCTTGTTTTAATGTAAATCTAAAGTCTTCTAAACGAAATACAAATAATACTTCACTAGCAAATCCGAACAAAGATCGTGTTTTAACTCAAAGATGTTGTTTTTTTACTCAGGTGAGATTTAACACTACTATTTAACTTGTACTAACTATAACTAATTGGTAACATCCAAATGAGATGTAATAGCTAACACATCTTCCAGTTGGTTAGCGGTAAGTCAACGAATTTTAAACACTAAATCCAGGGTACGATTCCCCGTGGCGAACAGAGAGAAAAGAACCCATTTGTGTAGCCTTGCAATAAAACAAACAATAACTAACACTAATCAGTAGTAACATCCAAATAATGTGTAACAGCTAACACTACTTGTTACATCCAAATGAGTTGTAACAGCTAACAATACTTATTATATCCAAGTGAGTTGTAACAGCTAACAATACGTATTACATTCAAATGAGTTGTAACAGCTAACAATACTTGTTACATCCAAATGAACTGTAACAGCTAACACAACTTATTACACCCAAGGAGTTGTAACAGCTAACACTACTTGTTACATCCAAATGAATTGTAACAGCTAACACTACTTGTTACATCCAAGAGAGTCGTAATAATTAACACTTGTGTTGTTTATCCGCATGTGTGTGTAGAAATGTTTCATGATCTTCTCTTCCTTTGGCACGTTTTTTTACTATTTTAACTTGAGCTCGCGACTATTGGAAGTCACGCGCTATTACTACACACGTATATAGTACTTTTCCCTGTATTAAGAGAGACTGAACATTAGATATGACGTTTGATATCCGTAAGTGTAAAGTTTTTTTTTAAATTTCTGACATATGAAAATTAATACAGATGTATGAATGACAGACTTTCATTCGCACATAGTGAGAGAGAAAACTTCGCTCCGAAAGTGTAAAATTATGTTTTGTGTACCAAATGTTGATTAGACCGTGAAGACACTGATGACTACAATATTCAAGTCGTGTTTGTTATTGTTAACTATTGGTACATGTTTAAATTATTACTTTAAAACCGACTAATGTTTCGCATTTCTTCTAAAAAATGAAGAAAAAAGGAACGTTTGGATTTTCTGGAATTCATTAAACTTTTAGACCGTTTTTGTAATAAAAAAAAGATCAACTGATTGATGTACGTTTGCAATGACCACTCACAAAGATACTGAAGCCTAACTCTGACTTAAAATGAAGATCTTATCCCACTGCTGCTACAAATTTGATTTTT